GGGAGGGGAAGGGGAGTTACAATTTCTTAACGTTATCATGACTTTGCTTTAACTTTCTTGATGACGTCGTTATTGTTGCTTTGTTTTGTTTTGTTTCTTTAATATTTTGCCTGGATTTAGAACAAAAAAAATTGTAAAATGATAAGACCGAGTGGACTTATTAAATTGAATAAATTGAGATAAGAAACTTGAAAAGAATCCGATATTTTTTTGGTTCGTCCTTCCTAATGTTCCTTTCCTTTGCGAAGTGATCATTTTGCTTATGCAGGCATTGATTTTCTTGCTCCCAAAACCCACTCCCATTTCCAAATACGTTTATCTACTTTTTTGTGGCTCCTTCCCTATAAAAAATTTGCCAATGACGTTCTCAGTTTCACAACTACCCATGAACCAGTGATATCACTGAGACCTATTTCCTGCTGTGTAATTTCGTCTTAAAAACAGCGGTGGAAATTCGAAAAAATTCACATACCCCTGTAGACATAGGTGCATCTTCCATTTAAAAGTTATGATGGCGGAACTCGCAGCGCGCTTGAGGCACGCGTGCAGCGGTGCATATTACTAGCCTATCAAGCCGAGAAAATTGGGTCGTGACTTCCTGACCATACATCCATTCTTCCATACAAGAAGCCGTATTGAACGTGCACTGCATTGCGAGCGAAACACGTGGCTTGAAATGGAAATTACTGTTTGTGATTGTCAACGTACTCGAGTAGAATACTCTTACACTATCTTGATCGACACAAAATTCTAGAGTTCCAAATGAAAAGCAAACATGCGAAAGAATACTAGTATCTCTGAAAAGAGCTTTTGACTTCAATTTAAACATTCTCGCGACCCTTTCAGCTTTCGATCTCACCATAATTGGTTTTGTAATAGCGACGCGAAATACGGCAGGAAAATGAAACCGAGGTTGCTGACTCAAAACGAGGTGTTTCGGCATTTGGAAAATTTCACACTAGTAATTAAAGATATTGTTTAGGTGAAGATTCTGTGTTAAATCAGGGCAGCTTTCAGAATTTTCAACAAAAATCTGTAGAATTTACTGCTTTTCGAATTAAATCAACAATGTTCAAGCATGGATTATTCTTTTGGGTGGGTTCTTGTGTGCGAAAAGTTTCCATTCTTTTTTACTTCTAACAGCAAATCAGCTCTTCTCTGAGGGAATCCTGTATCTAAAAATATATTTCGCTTATTTTTGTCTAGCCTTAATCGATAGTTGTTCTGGTGGCGAGGGACTCTATAGTCTTAATTTCTGCGCAACAATTGATGTTCACCTGAGCTTGCTTTTAAAAGAAATTAATTTTAAAAGTTTACTTTGGCGCAATGAGAGTGCTTGTTTCTGTTTCTATAAAAAAAATTGATTTATGAAAAGGTTTGCAACTTACTTAGTTTACAACTCGGAGAATTTCGAATATCACTCAATAATGGCCCTGTCCGATATAGGAGTGTTCACCACTTGCATTGCTGAGCCAACAAAAGAAGCGCTGTATGTTTAATCCTCACGGTTCTATGAGTAGAGAATGGCACAAAACTGGCAGAGGAGGGGTGCATTAACTTGAGACCCAATTTTGACTCGGAAATTCATTTTCCTTCATCAACCAATCACAATCGTCCTTATATTTGAGTTGGGTTGATCAAGCTCCGTGAATGACACCAAAGATCAAGAACTGGTGCCGCCACCTGTTGAAGCTAACTATTGAAAATTTCCGGCATTTCTTCGATTTGAACACGGCTTACGTGATTTGAAATCCGCTATGAATCTGTAAGACGCCAAGAAGTATTTTGATGTTGATTTCGTCCCTTTCATTGTGGATTAACAAGTTTTGGGTAAAGTTATACACAAAGAAAAACCCTCTCTGAGGAATAATAGAGCGACTGACCATGGTAAGTCACCAGTTGGTAAATTATATTTAAGTAGAAATTTCTTGTTTGCTTTCTGGTAGTGAAGGTTGTTTTAGACTGACCATTTTACCGTGATTTACAAGTTTCTGCCCTACTTGAAGTCAGTAGACTTGTCCTTCTGGGCTGAAACTACGACACCATTATGAATATAGTAAACACTTGAAGGGAACCAAAACCGTTCTAATTGTGGAACAAAGCTAAGACACGACAGCGTCATGAATCGTTTGTTCATAACTTCAACTGACTTTCTTTTCAACAACTCCAGAGGAAAAGTTTATAGCCATAGTTTAAAAATGCAAAAATGAAGATAATACGCTGCGTTTTGAAATTATTCATAGATTCAAACAGGGACACCACAATCGCCGCCCATCTGATATTTTGGTCCGACAGACAACATCAATTGACAAATTGCTTTATAAAGGTGGTCTGGGCTCATTTCCGTAACGCCTCGCATTTCGTGGCGAAGGCCACTCGGTCAGCAAATTGAAATTGTCAGATTAGTAAGAAGACGTTTTTAAGCCAGCGACATTTTGTATTTTATAGAATATTTAATCACGTGAAGTAAACAGATGAATCGAATTTTGCTCGCTGTTAGTGTGGAAATTACCTCTTGATTTTGAAAAAATACATATAATTTCGAAGTTATGTCTCCCTTCGTTTGAGAGACGGGTGTTGAATAGATTTAATCTGACTCTAACTGGAGATAATCACGTGAAGCTTTGACGTATGCTAAAATAAACAATGTGAAACTCAGATTACGCGTATTGAAAGCATACTGTTCGCACTTTCAGAAAAATCATCACATTTATAGTTCTTGAATTTTCACGTAAACGTTTGATATGTGTTTAAATCAAGTAAATAGGATTTTAGTCGAGTTCCATTGATCAAGCGCACTCAGTGGAAGGTTTTTCCTGCGCTGGTAAAATAAATGGTTTTTTCATAAAAGTCTTGATAAAATCAGATAAATGCAATGAATTTTAGCATAAAAATGTCACTCAGTCCTGCTATGGATGAGACATGATCGGTAAAACGGAGATAAATTAAGTGTAAGTCGAGAAATACTTGCTAAATCTGACAGAGTGAAAATGTGAACTGAAGTGGACGATGGCATACAACTTACCTGTAGCAACATAACAACAAACGACAGGTTTCTCACTATGTTTCATTAACGACCAGTTCATGTTTACGACTGGACTCACTATGTGCAAAACTGTCCTCGTTTTTAGCCGGTTTTTCATTCATTTTAAAGAAATAAGAAAATTGTCTCTAAATAACAATAAAGTTGCTTCAGATCTTCAAGTTAGGTTTTGTTTTAAAATGTTTTTGAGGGTTTTAACATCTCATAGTGGGTGGTTTGTTTCGCCTTCCACTTTAGTTTTTGTAACTATAGGTCAAACAATGTATCCTTTGCCCGATGATTTAGAAAAGAGTCAGTCAGGATCCATGAACATGAATTACTCAACCTTTTCTTTAAACAGGTTTATCTTGAATGAGATAAGGAAAGAGATGAGGTTACTTTTCCTTATTTTTGTGATAGCCTGGATTTACCCACCGGTTTATTCAGGTGAGATATTTACTGCTGATATACCCGTTTTCGTATCAACAATACTCCTACTTCATCTATCATGAGGACTGTTTATAAAGTCCAATATTCACTGCAAGAGGATTAAAATATGGTTTATTTTACTTGACATTCACAAAATACTGATTGATTTATTGATTTATATCAATCCTTCATCAATTGACTGATCTATTGACTGATTAATTGGCTGGTAGATTGAATGACGGATTGATTGACAAACCGTCGATGTCAGAAAGCCTTTCGAATCACATAAGTCTACGTGGAACCTAAAACAAGTCCAGCATGTGCAGTTTTTGTTTTTACACCACTCATTGAGAGGTGTAAAGATTTATTCGAGCGAGGTTTTGATTGTTCTTGCATCTGTATTTCTCATTTTTAATGCAAATCTTTCTTCAATGTTTCTTACTTCTTTTGATAGTCGTTATAGTCTTCAAGCTGTGAAAATTTTTTAATCTTCTCTTTGGTTATTTCTTTTTATTTCAGCTCCGCCGTTTGACGTTCGCATTGGAAGAGGTAATGATGACTCACATTTGGTTCAATGCGTGTACTTAAATGAAATACTTTGATAATATTACATCTCAGTAATTTTGCTTTTCTCTCTTGTACCTTTCTTTGCTTTCATTATTATTCAAAACTTATAAAGATCTTGTTATAAACACAGAGCTCTCATCAAGACCTCATAAGAGACAGGTTGCATATCAAGGTGAGAAATTATCTTGTGCTCTACTTGAAAGTAAACGTGATACTTAAAAATCTGACCGGTAAATTATCATATTTAGTCGTTTTTGAATAGGAAAAATTCTGATTATCAGTAGTTCTTTTCTATAATTCTTCTCAATCTTCTTTTCATAGGATACCCAGGTTATCCAGGGTACACGTCTACCACGTCACAGAAGACTTCAAACCAGAAAGTTGCGACACAACAGACGGGCTTCACATCTTCACGTAAGTGTAGCATTTTTGGTCGCTGCCTGATTGATCGGGAGGATTTTTTACCTCCTCAGAAATTTTTTATACAAAATCAAAGCACCCCAATAAGGTAAGAGAGCTTGTGCCTTTGGTTCATATTTTCGTCTCACTCTTACACGTTTTACACATTGATTTCGTTTTGCACTATTTCCGCTGTTAACGTAAGATCACTCATTTTCAAACCGGAAGCTTCATACAAGTATTCCATATTCAAAATTTTGAATACTCTTAACAACCAGCAGGAAGCTTTAAGACCATCATAAAGACTTTTAATATGAGCTTCATCTTAAGTTGCTTTTTAAAACAGAAACCTTGAACTCAGCTGATTGGAACGGAAGTCCCGGAGCAACAATTGCCTCAACTTCGACAGCGCAGACAGGACAACAGCAACTAGCAACCCAAACCGGTGCTGAGGCTGTTTCAGTTCAGAACATCTATAACACTTCCTATCCTTCTTTGTCAGCTGCTGAAAATTCATACCTTAACAATAGCTCCTTTGCACAAGACGCGACACAATCATCAGGAAATTCATACAACAACACTTCAGCAGCTTCAGTTGCTACTAATTCAACCCTTGGCGACAGTTACCCCGTATACTATGTGTCAAGCTATCAAGAGCCGACTACACAGCAGTCGATTTCACAGCCTTCATCAAATGCAACGACAAATTCATCTCCTTCCTTATCTACACCAATAACTGCATCGTCAGCGCGTATTAAGGATGATAGTTATCCAGTATACTACGTGACTAGTCCTAACGGCGAAAGGCAACAAACACCTGGAAACAGCGATAACACCTCGATCCCTGAGAAATCAACAAAAACTGTTTTTCCAAATAATGGTACTGATAATTATCCAATCTACTATGTGAGCAGCTATAACAATGCCACCACTCAGAAAACAACGGCTGGTGCAGTCAACAGAACTGATGCTTCTGACAGTTATCCTGTCTACAATGTGGTCAGCCCTGAAGCAAGCAAGGACGGTGTGAGTGAACCATCAAATACCAAGGTTCCCAACTCACCCGTTACTTATAAAATAATTAACAGTTCTGTCCCTTCTTCAATGCCATCCACTAATGCCCATTCTACAGCTGGTAACAGTAACTATCCCACTGCTCCTATATCAGCACCGGTATCACCACCAGCAAATAGTGCCTATAACTATCCATCTTATCCTGCAGCTCCTGCTCCCTACGGTACAGGCAGCCCATCATCCTCGAAGCCCTACGGGTCCCCCGCAAGTGCTCCCTCTCCAGCAATATACCAAGGCTACGGAACATCATCAAACTCAGCGTATCGAGGGCCAGCGCCAGCACCAGCACCATATCCTGCACCAAGCTATTATAGGTACCCAGCCAGTCGACCATCTGCATCACTATCAGCAGTTCAGTCACATGCACAGGGTTCAAACAGCTACAATACTTCCACAGCTCAATCCCCAGTCGCAGCAACAGCAACAGCCCCAGAAACTGCCCCAGCTCCAGCTCAGGCTCCAGCTCCAGCTCAATCTTCATTTCCATCAGCCGTACAAACGCCTGCACAGTCTTCAACCAGCTCGTATGCTTCCACAGCTAAATCGCCAGCCCCAGCTCCAGCTCCAGCACCAGCTTCAGCTTTAGCCTCTTCTTCATCTTCATCAAATGTGCAGACATCTGCACAGGCTTCGACCAGCTCGTATACTTTCACACCTCAGTCCTCAGCCCCTGCCTCGGCTCCAGCGCCCACTCAAGCTCTAACACCGGCCTCAGCACCGGCTCCACCTCCAGCTCCTGCTTACCTTCAGGCTCCCGCCCCAGCACTGACACCAGCTTCAGCTTCTGCTTCAAATCCAGCTTCACCTGCATCTTCTCCTCAAATCTCAGGCGTGGCATCTCCTCCTCCTCTTTCCTCAGAAGCTAAATCCCCTTCTTTTTCGGTTGAAAATCAGACGACTTCTCCTGTTCAAGTCTTCAACACTCCCACCTCCCATTCTAACCTGAGCTCACAAGAAATTCTTAATTCGGAATACGAAAACGCATCATATGTCATCGCCACTCCTCCTGAAAAAGAAACAATCCTGTTTCTTCCTTCTCCTTCTTTTCCCCTGTCTTCACAAGCTACTGAATCAGCAAGTTCTAAAAACGCAAATAGTTCATCTTCTCAACAAAAGAATCAACCATCTCTTCTAAATGCCACTATTTCTAAACCCCAAGCTCTGGCCAATACAACAAAGATCATTGCCATTCCTGCTTCTAAGCCATTAGTCCCTTTAGTGGCTATGAATAATACCAACACAAAACAAACCTCAAGTGCTTCGCTGCCAATCATTCCCAAAAACATTAGTTTTCCTGTTTTCAGAAACATGACAGACATGTCTAACACATCTTTCGGTGAAGCTACTTATAGCCCTCTCCCAGCCCCAACGGACGGACCAATAATCGAGATACCACTAGCTTCTGAGCAACAGGTTCATTCCCCTTCAGTAGTCATGACGAAACCGCCTCCGTCGTACCTACCAACAAAACCTCCCCCTGCGGCTCATTCTGTGCCGGTGGTGACAAAACCCCCTGCTTCTTTTGGAGCCCATACAACTGCTAAGCATAAGGCGAAAGAGTGGGGCTTTGACGACAAGTATCTAGGTAGGAATATTTTGCACCTTTAACTATTGGTAGGGATTCCATTTTAATCTTCGTAAGAAGAAGAATACCCTAGAATCCACGTAATCTCCGCAATTAAAAAGTTTATATTGTGACCCTCTTTGGAAACTCCTCGGTATAACCTAACTATTCAAAAATTTTCTTGAAATGTGCTAAAGATTCGACTATGGAAAACACCTCTCCAAATCCTACCAAAGCCACCTCCTTGGATCACACTCAAGCAAATGATATTCTTAATCTAAACGGTAATGTTTTGCGATGACCAGAGAAGTAGCTGTGTTTGAAGCGCGCACTGTGATTCCCACAATTTAGCTACCCAGTGAGGTGATTTAAGTAGCGGCCTTCATTGCCTGGTTTTCAGCCCATTTTAAGGTGGCTGAACACAGTTTTTGCGCACGCTTTTGCTGATGCAATTCAGCGCGCGCACAGGGATTACAAAAAACAAACATGCCGTCAATAGAGCGGTCATTTTATTTACTCAACACGTACCCGCACTATCTGTGCTATATTTTTCTCTATAGTTGGCGCAGTGTATTGAAGACTTTAACCTTTTATTACAAAGATATGTTAGAAAAGTTAACGGTGCAAAGAACCCAGCAATTCTCAGCTTTTTCGTCGTTACCGAAAGAACCCAGTCAAATGCAGCGCATGCGTAGTAAGTAAAAAATTGCGATTGAATGGAAAATTACTTTCTCGGAAATATGCCTCTTTCTTGAGAACCACTCATTAGAATTTCACGAAATTTGGCACGAAAATACTTTAGTAAATAAGTAACTGGAGTATTGAAAAAAAGTTGATTTTAAACAAAGAAAATTCTAGAAAATCGAGCGAACCTTCAACAAGGGATAATTAAAGATCTCTCTGTTAAATTGTTCGCAAAATGGTGTTAACTAGTAAGTATCGTTACAAGCTCGTTGCATGCAAAATATAAAGAAAATCTAATGAATAGATTTTCTACAAAGAAACAAAACCGATATTAATTACCTGTTTATATCTATTCATGTCACCATACGTCAGCTTAACTATCAAAAAAATAAAGTTTGTGTTGTTAACTTGCTTGCTGCCAGTTTTGGCGACCGAGAGATCAAGGGTTTTTAGAGAAAATGGTGAAAGAAACAAAGGTATAAAAAACTGTGTTTAGCCACCTTAATACAAGATTAGGTTATTGTTTGGAATTAAAAAAGGTAAGTAAGTAAGTTTCTACACATACTTACCATTGCGATTATTTGCTTTTTTTCTTTTTTGGTTTTTACAGCCTCTCAAAATAAACGTGCTCGCCATAGAAACGTAATATTTGACGGAATTGCCGGAGACAGTCAATGTAAGTATTTAAACAAAACAAAATTCATACAACAAGAGAACTTTGTCCTCAAATTTTTTATCAAATAAGCTTATTCATAAGTTAAGGTAAAGATCATAGACGACTTGCAGCTAAAATATTACACAGTTCATCTTGGTTTAAGAATGATAACCCTGATGTGATGCTCCCTTGTCGAGGTTTGCGAGCATATCTTTTCCTCATCATGAGATATTTATTATCATATCCCAACAACGATTCTTTTCCTCTCATGCGGAAGGAAATACCTCTCTCCAAAACCCTGTAGATTGACACAGGCACATTACTAGCGAACCATAAGAGTTCCATGGCATACAGTGAAACACATACGGTGTGTCCATTGCGAATTCCCTTCGTCCCTTTTTATTTGTAATAATTCATAAACATAAACTTCCTTTTCATCTTATCAGCTTTCAGCAACTATCAAATTTTCGTCCACTTTTATTTATTAACAAATGGTAAACACCACAGCGTACACTATTGAGTTATGGATGCACGCGGGAGGTTGCTAAGCACGAAAGAAACGTAAATAGTCTTTGCATTTGCTCACGTCAGCAGCGTACACCCATGGGCAAATGGGGGACGCTAAATTGACCAATCAGAGCGCGCGCTTTACTTTAGTTATGTTATAATAATAATTATTATACAAAAAATTCCTTTTCATCTCATCAGCCTTCAGCAACTATCAAGTTTTAAGTCAGCAAGATGTATTCTTCCCAAGAAATGGAAGGAAACGAAGAAATGTACCCATCACTTAAACCTGTCGACTNTAAAACAAATGGTAAACACCACAGCGTACACTATTGAGTTATGGATGCACGCGGGAGGTTGCTAAGCACGAAAGAAGCGTAAGAGTCGCTCGAGGCGATAGCCGAGAGCGACTCTAGCTTCTTGAGTGCTTAGCAAACCTCCCAAGTGCATCCATAACTCAATAGTGTACGCTGTGGTGTTTACCATTTGTTTTATAACATAACATTGATACATTGTAGCTAAAGAGTTCCCTTTTATTTAACAAATCTTACGTGACCAGAAAAAACAAGCGCGCGCGGAAAAATAGTCTTTGCATTTGCTCACGTCAGCAGCGTACACCCATGGGCAAATGGGGGACGCTAAATTGACCAATCAGAGCGCGCGCTTTACTTTAGTTATGTTATAATAATAATTATTATACAAAAAATTCCTTTTCATCTCATCAGCCTTCAGCAACTATCAAGTTTTAAGTCAGCAAGATGTATTCTTCCCAAGAAATGGAAGGAAACGAAGAAATGTACCCATCACTTAAACCTGTCGACTAAAAAGTGTCGATTAATAATCGCAGGGCAAGCGCAGAGACAAATATTTCAGTGGGGATCCTAATTGATCAAAAGTGACCATCACGTTTGCAAGGACGTAGAATATAAGTTTTGTAAATAACACTTCTTATAGTATATGTTTATATATCCCTTCCAGCATTCTAATGCAAATCCAGGATCTGATTTGGTGCAGTCCCAGCTATTTATATCTATTAGCCAACAGAATGGGAAGAAAACTCGGGTTTTCGCTGATAGACGGTTACTAAAAGTCACTATTAACCCCCTCTTGGAATCGAGTTATTGGGAGAAAAATGGAAAAAACTTAAAGAGTTCCTCTCGAGTTCAGTTCTCTTCCTGATTAGAGCTAGGACAAAAAAGTAATTCGAAAACTTTTAGTAATGTAGTTCAAAAGTATTTGACAGCTTAATACTTTAAGTGTGGTCATTCCCAAATCTTTCAGTCTGTTTAAGGAATTTACGAATGTTTGAGATATTAATGGTGAAAATTATATTTGTGACAACGGTTAAAGATGACAGATGTTTAATGGCAGTTCTAACTTATTAAGCACTTTTACCAGGTGCTTCCTTTAGAACATGTAGACTGTAACAAAACCTCTTTTAATCTTTTATCGAAATACACTGCATATTTCAACAGATTGTAGAAGAGGGAAATGCTATTCCCAAATGATGTATTTCTCTGAAGAGAAAGGAATTGCCGGTCTAAAACTCATGGCATATAGCAGCTATTAGGAAGTACATAACGCGGACATGACGATCTCAGTAAATCTCCCAATACCCTTAAGGACGTCGGGCTTGGACGTTGATTGAGAATGTTAGACAGAAAAGCATAAGACGCCTTTCTAAAGCTTCATAGTTTCTTTTAAAGTTTACGATCTTTCTTAGATTGCAGGTGTAAACGCATACATGAATATTCAAATGCCACAAATTTGGTCATACATGATATGCTTTGTGCATTACGTCTCGTTAAAACTGTTCATTTCTGCTTATAATCAAAAAATATATTTTCAACGTTCCTAGGGGATCCTGGAAACTCACCTACATCAGACAAACAGTCAATCTTTATGGTCACGTACCATGCATAAACATTAATTCCTCTTTCTGACGAATACATAATGCTTAATTATGAGAGCACTAGAATCTCGTTTAGGACCTAGCAAACCCCTGTTAACTGTATTATTCCCTTTTGCTTCTGGATAATACTTTTGCACCACTCTCCATAAATAACAAAATAAAGTTGTTTATTCCATCTCCCTTTGTCAGAAATTTGATATATACATGTATACATAGTTCAGAAATCATTTTATGTAACCACGATTATCAATGTCATCCATATCAAAGGATTCGTAGCTTCTTCTTTAATGTTTCCCTGTAGGCAAGACAGTTAAAAAAAACATATTTCAGAACATACCATTTAAGAGAGGATATCAACATCCATCGAACAATTTTGAAATATAGTGGCAAGTCGCCCAAAATTCGTTTTCTTTCCTACTTTCATATTTTTTAATAATTTTGGTGTAGTTTTTTTGTGAAAAATATAGTTGAGTTTTCGAGAAATGATTTTTTTTTCGTTCGACCGCTCGATTATGCAAATTTTCACCGTGAATATTACCCGAGTTGTGTGACCTCGTGTAACGAATACACTTGACCTCCGGTATTTCTGTCAACATAATCCTTTGTTTTATCATCTAAACTTAATCCCCTATCATAATTGAAGCTGGCAAAGAAACATTTATATTTTAGTGAATATTTTTGTCCGACATACTTTTTCTATGTCGAAAAGTAGAATAAAGACAAAGACAGTTTTAGCAATGACCGAAATGACAGAATCTACTGAGCTTCTAGCTTTTAAGATACAAAAGGATGGTTATCATGAGTTACTTTAAAAATTTTCTTGTGTATTTGTGTTGTTCTATCTTAAAATGAACTCAAAGTCGGGCAAAATTTACTTGCTAGCGACCATGAAATAAACATGGCGTGCCTACTTGTCGCCACCGTCTGCTGGCATAAATCACCACAATTTGTAAAAAAATCTAACATAACATTCTTACCTTGTTTAATTATGATTTTATTAGCTGTTTCGATTATGATGTTACGTCTGGTTATTACTTTTTTTCCAGCAGAAGCCCAGGTTTTGCAATGTGTTCTCCCCTCCCCCATTTATATTATAAGATTGTCACAATAATTGATACCGACACAAATGAATATTTACCCTGTATAAAGATTTTTGTTTATGTTGAATTGAAAATATTAGAACGTGTGCTTTTTGTGGTCACTAATCGTTGTTTCAGTGGTACCGAAGCAGTAAAAAGCGGGTCGTTGCTTCAACGCTATTGAAATTACTAGTATACAGACAGGAGAGTAAAGCGTGATGCTCTAGGAATAAAATGTTACATGATATCGGAATGAGTTTTGTTCAAGAACGAGTTCATCCCGGTTGCCACATGATACCACGGTAAAATTTATTCGAAACGAGTAATTTTTGAATAAGTTTATTGGGATTTTCATTTCAGAACGAAACATTCATTCTGGACGACCTTTTGTACCTGAATAACGTAAACGCTATACGACAATCATATCTGCAGAGTCTTTCTGGGTTTCAGTTTCGACATATTGAGTGCCTTTTTTCTTTGCTGTCTCCCGCGAAAAGAAGCTTGTTGATTTGCTGAGATGTCAAGTTATCCTCTACTTTAAAAATTGGTTCGCCACCTGGGAGTCTTGCCTTTCGCATGGAGTTCGACACAGATACAGGATCCACCTTTTGACCAGTTTGATTACCAGCGTTATCAATGTGAAGCAAGTAGTCTGTCTGTATTTGGATAGTCACTTGTAATGCTTGGAACTTTTAAGGGCGCATTCCATTTTTAATGAGGGTTCACCTCGTTCAAGGTTACCAGCTTTATCAGAGACATAAGGAACATTAGTCGATGCACCTTCTTCAAGTTGAGCTGCAATTTTAACATAGCCTTGTCGTAAAGGGTTTCACGCTCTAGAACATATTGGTGTTTACCGCAATCGAGGTGGTTCTGAAGGGACGGAAGTCTTTGGTAGGACTTGATACAATCCTCTTCTGTACAAAAGAACAAGCTCTGTTCCTCTGAGTCGGAATCTGTTTCCTCTGGTGTGTCAGTTATCTGATCACTAGGTGACTTGTTTTAGCTGAAACTCTTCGTCTTACGTTAACGTCAGTGAATGATACATTAGAACAGTGTGTGTGTGTGGCTTGGAATGTCAAGGTCACTCCAAGGTAACCATTTGCCAGGTCCAATGTCGTACGCTCTCCAAACTCAAACATCCTCTCCACTAAATGTCAAATTACTGAGGAAACTAATTCTACACACGGTAGTAGGTAGCCTACTTACCGGAGCCAAGTTGTATGAATTTTCCAGATACCTTGAATATTATCCGTGAAACACGCTTGCCAATTTCCCCATCGCCTTTTGGAATCGACGCCTTCACCATGGCCGGACACTTCTTTTGGCACTCTACATCTACTATTGAAACCACGTCTCCACCCAACACCGAGATTTGATCCATCAGTGGGGCAAATTGTCAAATCATCGATATCTCTCGGCGTCCTGAAGATGCCGGCTCGCGACAAAATCAGATCAACTTCATTTTTTGGAACTGAAAACTTGTAACTCCGCAGGGGAACGACTTGAGATTTACAACTTCGGTCTTCTCGATGTGACCGAGGCAGGTTCTGATGTTGTTATTTGAACAACGAGACAGACTTATAGCCACAATAAAATTTATTTGTACAGGGAAGTACAAAAGAAATAAAAGTGATAAAAAGAAAGGGTGATTGCAAGCTAAAAGAAATAATAAATGACAAATAACAAATCGATAATTTAAAATAATGAAATAAAACAATTAGTAAAAAATACAATCGGTTGTCATACAATAGCAAGGCACTAACAAGACAATTTTAAAGCATTGCATGACAGAACAGTAATCATTTTGTGACACTTAAAAGACTTAATCCTATTAACCAAACAAAGAACTATTGGATGGTGGGCTATTCTTAGAATTATACATGAAATGACTGAAAACAAGTCAATACTGATAAAACAATAGCTCAAAACAACATAACATTAGATAAGACTAATTTCGATCACAATTTCATATTGTCCTTCGACTTAAAACTAGGAAGACTGGCAAAATCTTATTCAGTGACAGGCCAACATCTGTCATTACTGATGAACTAAACAATGAAGACTGTAGTGAAATATCTGATTTCACCAATGAACTTTAAGTCAAGTATACAGATAAATGCAATGTTCTGAAAGCTGAATACAATCTTGACACATTTTGAACATGAATCAACTAATATAAGGATTCAAGCAAAGACTAAACAATTAGATTGAGATAAGTACAGATGAACCATATTATTCTTGAACTCAAACTGTAAGACATACAATAATAGGTCAAATGTGACATACCAAATCCTCAGTAAAATAGGTCACTAACTTGAGGTTACATGTACTGGAGTTACTTTTTTGTGACCAAGAGGTTCTGAGCTTGTAAGTGCTGGTCTTGACACTCTGAACTACTGAGTTAAACTAACTAACTGTACTTCTTTTATAAGGAATCGAACAATAGCAGGAAATTCTCTAAAAATTTTGCAAGTTAGGTGTGATCATTCTAAAGGAAATTTATCATGCAAATCCTGTGTGTATGATAATTTGGTTATCATAGGAAATAGTTAGGTGTAATGGTGCGACTTAAAGGAAATTTATGATGCAAATCCTGTGTGTATGATAATTTGGTTATCATAGGAAATAGTTTCTGAACATGTAATTCTAAAATTATAACAAAAAATATTGCAATGTCATGCACAATTGTGAGCCTGGTCACATCGATAACATAACCCACAAGCTCTATCAACGAACGATTTAAATGAACAGCAAATCTCCATGTTAGCATTTAAGATGAGACGCTTATACACCAGATCCACCCGCTAAATTAGTATGTAGCTTGTCAGTCAAATTGACCTTGTAAACATTCTCTGACTTACGCCGGCAAAAGAATCATTGATGAATCTAGACATTTTAGTTTTCTGAATACAGAAGTTCCTGGAAGGTTTTTCTAGATATCATGCAAAGAGGAAAAAAAAAAATCTCTTGGTATTTCGGAGGTTGATCCCTCTTTGAATTTATGTGTCACGCTTAACTGATAATATAAGATATAGAAGATATGTAAACTGGAACTCAGCTCTGGCTAAAATGTGGTAGAACATGAGATCATCGAAACAGCTATTAAAATCCTAAATAACCAGGATAAGATTGTTATGTTAGATTTTTTTCGCAAATTATAGTGATTTATGCCATTAAACGGTGGCGACAAATAGGCATCATGTATATTTCATAGTCGCTAGCAAGTAATTTTTGCCCGACTTTGAGTTGGTCTCACGTTAGAAGAAGACAAATACACAAGGAAATTTTTACAGTAACTTTATAACCATCCTTTTGTATTTTAAAAGCTAGAAGCTCAGTAGATTCTATAATATCGGTCATTGTTAAAACTGTCTCTGCCTTGATGTTACTTTTCGACATAGAAAAAGTATGTCGGACGAAACTATTCACCAAAAAATAAATATTTCTTTGCCAACCTCAGTAATGACAGGGGGTTAAGTTTAGATGATGAAACAAAGGATTATGTTGTCAGAAATACCGGAGGTCAAGTATATTCGTTACACGAGTTCACACAACTCGAGTAACATTCACGGTGAAAATTTGTATATTTGAGCGGTCGAACTAAAAACATCATTTCTCGAAAACTAAACTATATTTTCACAAAAAAACTACACCACAATTATTAGGACATATTGGGCTACAAAATATGAAAGCAGGAGTGAAAGTAAATTTTGGGTCACTTGCCGCTGTTTGTCTGATGCGTGTTGACATTAGCTCTTAAATCTTTTTATCAAGCCACCAAGAGAACCAACCACTCAGATAAGTGGTTTTATCAATGATCCCAACCACTTAGATAAGGGGTTTTATCAATGATCCCAATCACTTATGGAGTTTTATCAATGAGGATTATCTAAAAAGCTTAGTGAGAGGTAGTCTTCTTTTGATACGCGATGCTAGTTAATTCCAGATCTTTGTATATCATTCATTATATCTATGATCTAACACCATTTTATTGGTTTCTTTATCGTGCCTAACTGATTCCCGTTACAACCTTTTTGTGTCCCTTAAATACTTAAAAACGATAAATAGAGGGAAAGGATGTACTACAACTAGGTGAATCTAAAACCTAGTTGCAGACCTTTTATTCATTACCCTGTTTTTGTGTCCTTCTCTTCTGCTGATCTCTTGCTGTGATTGACCAAAATGTGTTGCCGGGTGAGTACCGTGCTACTTCCGCCTGCGAAAAAAACAACAAAAATCAACAAGAGCTTAGCGTAATAAGCGCGATATGCATGGCAAGAGATGAAGTCTTGACTGATTACTTGACGATTACTTCACCAGATAACGTTAAAGTTTACTTGGTTATACCTCTCATGTCATCATGAGGGGAATAGCAGTTTTATTCAAACCAACTATACTGACTGTAAGGTGCTTACTGTGGTAAAAAAAAAAAAAGTTGATTAACAAATGGTCTTAATTCGGTTTATGTGACGGTGACGGGTTGGCGGCTAAAAGCCTGAGATGGCAAAGCCAATCAAAACTCTAGAATTGCATTTTAGATCTAGATTTTTATTCCCCTGAGATCTGACTCAACATCGGATCTATCACTGCAGTCGAGCAATCAGGTGAAAAACGAAAACCAAAGGTGCTTGTTGTTCGCATTTCTCCCCAGTCGAGGCAGGTTATAAGTATTCTCATTATCTTATTTTAAAAATTTTCTCTGTTCTGATTTGCCAATCTGTAGACGTTGGTTTTATTGTCACTACAATCATGGGAAGGCGCTCTTATGCCCATTGTATAAATGGAGATTTGTTTTGCTTACCGTAAGGATCTCCACCAACAGAATCAAAATAAACATTTCGGTGTCTTGCGGCATAGTTTAACCTAGCTGTCAACAGAATCGTCATTATTAACACCAATGTTAGATATGAATTAAGTCACAACCAGCTGAAGAGGGAAGTCAGGCATCATTATGTTTGTTATCGCCTCTGAAGGGTTTTAGCCAACATATAGGTAACTTGAAAGCAGTAAATTGTTATAATTCCTTACCAATGCCATCTCTTTTCACGGTCTCTTGCACGTTTGAAGGACTAGATTGTACTGCTGGATAATATTGACTGATAGCTCCGGCTGATAAAAAGAATCGCAGAAAAAAAAATCTAAGAATTGATCAGTTGATTTCCAGAAAGAGAATCAAGATCACTCTTGGAGGTGGAACTTAGTTGAATAAGAAGTTGGAGTAATTCTTAAAACTCACATAAATCTGTATTGTATTTTTATCACCTTGAGAAGTTACCCTGAAAGTTTGATTTACTGCTTAATGCTTAATAAACACTCACCAGCTAGTGATAATTCTCCTTGTGAAACAGATCTTATCTTTTTGTGATTAACGGCAATATGTGAACGAGTCAGAACAGGGCTGCTGTGACCTGTTTGAAAAATAAGGTGAGACAAGAATGAAATTTACTCAGGGCAGTTTAAGCCCGTCATACCGTGTAGTACCGGTCATCTTTGAAGTTTTTCAATGCTCAAAGGCAGGGACCATAGAGAATGATAACATGTCTGACTGGCACGATTCCTTCATCTGATAGAGAATAAATACACTTTCCCAAGAAATATAAATTTAAGCACATTTCCCTTTAACAAGACTGGCTACTTTTCCTCCTCTTTTGAAATCGACGGTGATCTAAAATCAATATTAGGGGAATTACGTGAAGAATAAGGCTTCTTGGGTGGGCGTAGTCTCTTGGGTCATACCTCTCTTTTATATGAATAATAAAACTACGCTCTCACTTGTTTATGTCAAAATCGCACCTCTTTACTTTCTTTGACGCATTTATTTGAATAGCGTTTAACAAAACTTTTTGGCCTATGACCAGAAAGAAACCTACATGTTTTGCTCTTACTTACTTACCATATGGATCTCCTCCAACAGTGTCGAAATATACGTTGCGATGTCTGGCGGCTTGATTCAGTTGTTCTGCATTATTAAACGAAAGAAAAATGTATCAGAGGGATCTTTGAGACCGCTTCTATAATTATGAAGTTACTTCCCTCAATATTTACACCTACAAAAGGACGCCCCTCCTATTGCCAGTTTTCGTGTAAATTTTAGCAATTAAGACTGGTTCTGAAACGGAGATGGGTTTTTGAAAACGGTTCTCACTTTTAGTCTCTTTGCGCTACAAAAACTAAGTGACCAGGGGCAGAGAGCAACATCATCGAGAAAGGCCTGTAATCATACCAATGGTGTATCTTTTGTCATCAGCTGGGTGCCTTCCTCCAGTGATTTGTTCTTCAAAGAAAGCTGAAGGAAGCTGACTTCCTCCAAACGTTTGAGCTAAAAGCCAGGAAAATAAATATCTCAATAAATTATGTAATTCTTAGAGACCAATTTCGAGATAAAGATTAGCGATAAAAAAGCACGACGTTTCGACCTCTCCGAACTCATTTTCAAGTAAGTTAAAGTTTTCTAAATTAGTATTGGGCAAAAATGTGGCGAACACTAAGACGTGATAAAATATGTAAGAAAGTGCTAAACATTGCCACATTTTAGCGTTCGCCATAGTTTTACCCATTTCAATTTTTTCTACATTTTTACGCTTATTTAGAAAACATTTTACTCACTTGAAAATGACCTCGGAACGGTTGAAACGTCGTGCTTTTTTATCCTTAAATAAATATCATTTAAAATTTTATAGGAAATTATATTGCAATAGAAAAAACCCGAGCCCCAGATGGGACTTGAACCCGCGACCCTCCGAGATCTAGTCGGATGCTCTAACCACTGGAGACTCTATGGTGAGCAAGGGTCAATTTGTGGGCCTCGACTGGAACCC